TACATCGAACAGCCAACATCAAATGTTTAAGAATTAATGCAACCATGTCAAACAAATCTTAATGCAAATAAAGTTTAATCATGTGGAGTTAAAACATTGAACAAGAAGAAACATTTAAACAATTGAACCAAATTGAAATTACTTAAAACTTTAAGGTTAAATAGTTGGATTTGTGAAAATTTATCTCTTTAAATAAAACAAGGATATACTAGAGTTCATAAGAGTGATTAGGGATCGAGTGATCAAAAATATCTTCCTAAGGGTTCATTTCTAATTTACAATTAATATTGGATGATTGAGGACCAATCTATCAAATTTTAGGTATGAGAGGACCAAAACAACCATTTAAAATCAAAAACAGAAAATAGGGAAATAAGTATTAGAACTAGGGTAGCGATTTCGAAACTAAGTTTTCAATTTCAATATTGTTGAAGCCACTAGAATATGGATATCAGAACTAAGGGTTGAGTTTTGGAACTAGCCTTCCTAGTTTGGATCGTGTGATGGTTTCAAAATCGAGGTGCAAAATTGTAGAAAAGCAAGTATTATAGCAATAAAAAATAGAATATCTCATTTAAGATCGACTTGTTTTATCACCCATTATCATGACAACATAAATTCAACACATCTCATATCATAGTCTACATACCACCTAACATCATACACTAAATAATAAGATTACAAAATCTTATCATACTTAGCATAACAAGCCCGTATAAAGGAGAATCTCAAATATAAAAACTAGGGAACACTATAATATTATTAAGCATATTTAAGAGCAATATAACTTGAGTTTGCAATTTTGTTGGATAATCATCCGACCTTGAAGGATATTGTAATGCTAGAAAACTAACAATAATAAAGCTCAGTAACGATTTCATAAAAGTTCGATAAATAAACATGTATTGTTTGTTCCACTATGAAATCAGAGTTTATAACTCTTAATTTAACTGAATAGAAAATCAAATGACCTAAAAATTTGTTTATAGAGATTCTTGATTGGGAAAGGCCTACATCTCCCCATATCCTTACTATGTAACTCATAAGAAATAATTTGTGTTGGTCAAACTTAAACCTACAATGATAAAAAAGACATAATAATAATACATGAATGTGTGAAACACTTAATAGAAAATGACATACTCACCATAGAGTATGTGAAAGTCAAAAGGAACTTGGTTGATCTAATAACCAAAGGATTATGTAGGAAAATGATTCTTGACACATCGAGGGTAAGTCTTAAGCTTATTGGTTGAGAAATTCATGGTGAACATCTAACATAGTTAGGTACTTAATTTTGTAAAGCTTTTTATAATGTTTTACTTGCCTTCTCATATTAAAGAGTGTGATTAAGGCTATAACCTAACCCAAACATGTGTGTACGGCAGTTACTCGATTCAATTTCATTTGATTTATGTTCATATTAACACGAAAACACGTATCATATACTTACAATTTTAAAGATTGTCTATTCAAATTTTCATGTAAAAATAATAAATCTTAAATATTATTTTTATTTTATATCCCTTAATTATCCGAAATTTTGAACTCAAAATTTGATAACGAATTTAATTGTTTGAATCAAAGATGGGATAATCGACTGAGTTATTTTTTTTAGTTTCTTTCAATAATTTCCTTACCCTAAGCATATAAAGTATATTATTGTTGGTTTGTTATTCAGAATATCTTTTCTTTTCTCTTCACTTAGCAATAACTATCCCTCTTCCTTTTGTATGTGTTGTCGGTCGCTTTATAATAATCTTTTCATCACTGGTTATCTTTCATCGATAAAATTTAACTGAATTTTAACTCTCTTTTCTAATGTATGAATTAGGGAGTATTACGTTAATCTTGAAGGTGATCTTCCATTTTATAATTATATCGATAGAAGTAAATTCACTTATAACACAGTGAATTACTATAATATATTTTCTTTCTCTGTTTTATTATTTTGTACTATCAGTATTAATCTATTTATTTTGCAATGCCCATTTATTGTTGAAAAGAATAAGATTATTATTACTGAAAACGTGATATTTTGATTGAATTTAGCTAGATAAAATAATATAGACGATTTCTCTAAGTATCTTTTTTTTTTGGTAACAAAAGACAAAGCAAGCCTAGAAACTAAGGCAAAACAGTAGCAGCCGAATCTTCATGCACAGGATCCGAGAAAACAACGCAGTCGTGACGCCGCCAATCCACCTTCTTCGCCAAACAATCCGCAACACTTATTCTGCCGAGAACCTGGTTAAAACGCAGTCCACTCGCCCTCCAAGTGCTTAGCAATATGATGCACCACCAAAAGACGGCTTGAAACCAAATTTGAATCTGAAATCTCCTTCAGAACCGCTGAACTGTCAACCTTCACAATCACTTGATTAAATCTGCCATCCTTAGCACAACAAAGACCCTGGTACACACCCCAGAGCTCCGCCTCCAATACAGAACAAATACCAATAAACCTGGCAAACCCGAGCAGCCACAGGACATAACTATTCCACAGAACACCCCCACACGAGGCTAAGATTGACTCCCTATGGCGAGCCCCATCGGAATTAATCTTCACCCAACCAAAGGGAGGCCGAGACCAACCTTGCAGTGCAACACCAGGTCTCATTTGCTGCCTCTGCAATATCCTCGCATCCATTAAAGCCCGCCGAGTGTACTCCCAAACCGTTTTACTCCGCTCGATCAGCCATCAGTTATCATCCCGAGGAGAATCAAAAGCAATAGAATTCCGATATAACCAGATATTCCAAACAAGAGCACCGAAGAAAATGTCCCAACGATCCCTATCTCCGACAAATCAACCGCGCTTCATAAATTCAAAATAATCCACTCATGCAGATTCATATTCAAATACTAGGCTATTTTATTACCCCGAACAAACGCAGACCAAACAAAAGTAACCGAAGGGCAGCGACGCAACAGATGGTCAACGGTCTCCACCGGCGCAGCACAATCGGGCACTCACTATTCGTCGTTAAGTGGCGACGAAACCTTTCCGCATTAGTTAAAACTCGATCAGTACAACAAAGCCATAAAAAGAGCTTTATCTTTTGTAGGCCTTGAAACTCACTAATCCTCACCCAAACCTTATTTAAAGCTGTAGACGGATCGGTGCTACGAAACTCATACACCGACTTAACAGAGAAGCGCCGATCGACATTAAGATTCCAGCCAACCGAATCATCAGTAAGGTGCCCCAGAGGACCCTTCTTTGCAGCGATACGAAGCAATATGTCCCGTGGAAGCAAATGTTCAAAATGAGTCCACCACCAATTCCCACTACCATCTGTCATATCAGCTACGGTTATCCGATGCATACTAATAGCTCCAGCCGCTGTCATATGATCTATCAAAGGACCACAGTCATCAAGCCATGCATCAAACCAGAAATCTACTAACTTACCATTACTGATACACCAAGAAACATAATTTCTAACATCCGTCCATACAGTTGCAAGGCCCCTCCAAAGAGTAGAACATCTCGTAGACTGAATCACATCTGGAATACCGCCTGAACACTTATATTTAGCACGAATAAGTCTTACCCAAAGATGATCTTTTTTGGCCAGAATGTTAAAAGCAATCTTCGTGAGAAACACCTCATTTAGATTAGCTAGATTTTGGAATCCCAAACCACCTTGCTTTATTGGTTTACAGACCTCTTGCCATTTAACAAGATGTAGACCTTTCTTGCCTTCCTCAATTCCCCAAATAAAGCGACGAATGTGTCTTTCAATTTCCGTGCAAATACTTCTCGGAAGCACTGCGGACTGCATCTGAGTTAAGTAACTGTACGAAGCCACCGTAACTCGACCATGAGGAACTTACAAATCGGAAACAACTTGGGAACCAAAATCAGAACTAATTCGTACTTGATCATCTAAGGAAACATTATTGGAGAAGAATATGGTGGTCTTCATAATACTGACCTTCTGACCTGAAACAACCCCGAATTTTAAGTATCTTTAATTTATCATCTAAAAATTTGAAAATGATATAGATAATATATTAATTGACAAATTAAAAGTTAAAAGGATAAAATTGTTCTTATGAGAAAAAACAATTAAATACTTATAAATCAGATAAAAGAGGAACTAAACCCTTTTATTATTTTCTATTAACAATGAAATTAAACAATAACGAATTCTGTTGGAGATGTCAATTGATATTTTTATTAATGAAGATTAAGTACACTTTTTTTTGTGAAGAACACATATGGTCTCATAATTATAGGATGTTGTTTTATTGAGTCTCCATACTATTAAAAGTTATAAAATGGTTTATCAACTATAGATTATTGTTTTGTTGAGTCCCTCAACTATTAAAATTATAAAATGATCATCCAACTATTCATATGTTCCAAACTCATTCTTTTTCATTAAAAAATTGATCACAGTCTAAGATGGACACTACTCTGTTGACTGAATATGATAGTTATTTGAGATTCAAGATCAGATTTTATCATATCACAGTTAACAGGTTATTGTCCAACTTATATTGTCGTCATTTTTTTAACAAAAAAGATAAATTTGAAACATATGAATAGTCGTTTTAACAAAAATGATAAATTTGGAACATATGAATAGTCGAGTTATTATTTTTGTAAATTTTAATAGCCGAGGACTCAATAAAGTAATGTCATATAAGCATGGGACCTTTTTGTAACTTTTAATAGTTAAAGGACTTAATAAAATAGAATCCTATAGTTAAGGGACCCATTCGTATACTTTATCTTTTTATAGAGAAGAACACACTAGATTCTTTTAATAGACCTTCAACAAAAATAATGTAATTTAAATTATTACTTAAATTCAAATCCAATACATTACCCAATCAAACTCATCCCATAGCCCAAATCAAAAGGCCATACCCAAACCATCTGTAAACGAAAGCCGAAGACCCAACTCAAACCGATGATGAAAATTCTAAACCAGTACTCTATTAAAGCATGTTACCCTAACCTTAAAGACGCCTTCATCACTTGAAGTCTTCCCTGAACATCATTCATTCTTCACTCTTCAATCGTATTCATTTGGTCTTGTCGCCGTCGGCTTGCCAACTGTATCAGCCAGCATCGGTTAGTCTTAGAGGTATCCTTTTCTTTCATGTTTACAACTATAGGCCCTCATCAAATGCTGGTGTTTTGAATGGGGTTTTATTGTATCATAATGCTAAATAATGTTGGTTTCTAGAGACTCGGATGTTTGGTGTTAGTTCAATCCTATTAGAATCAATAAGCGATGTTTTTTTTATTTTTGGGTTTTGCTTTATTTTTGATGGGATAGAAAGCTCCGTTTCGAGCAAGGCTGTTCACGGTCGTGGTTTATGATCAATAATAGATATAAGGGATGACACGGGCGTTGTGGGAGACCAAAGTGCACGAGTGCTTGGGAGTTGGGAAATAACTGGACTAATCAACTTATTTAAGCCACTCAGTTCGATTATTATTCCTTAAGATTGAATCAATTTGAAGTTCAATTTTCAAAAAATTTAAAATCTAATAACTAGCCCGGATTCTGCTGCACTGTTAGTTTGAGCTTCTAGGCACAACGAATATCCTCTTTCAGCTCCCGTTCTCCCTTCACTTTGTCAATTTTATTTCAGTTATTCAAATATTAGCTAATAGCTATTGTCAATTTCTCTCTTTTTCTTAAGAGCTCGAAATTTACGTTCAGTTTTCCTTTTTAATTGTTATATAAACTTTATTTAGATAAAGAGGGAAGTATAAAGAATGATATCAGCCATTTCATGGATCCCTAAAGGGGCAGCAAAAGCTGAACCAGCGGTGGCTGAGTTACCTTCCAAAGAAGAAATTGAAGAGATGATCAAGTCCGGTGCTCTAGATAAAAGGTATGCTTTGCCTTTGCTGCTCAAAATTGATTTGAATTCATTTGATTGATATTTATTTAATTTGGATATTTGCTTGTAGCAACTTGCAACATTAAAATGAAAAAGGACCATAGGGTTAGTTTAATCAACAAAGAAAACTACTCGCACCTGTTTGTCTCATAATCTTTTTGAGCTTTTCAAGTAAAAGAACCAAATTTCTGTTAAAAATCAAGCTAAGTACAATTACATTTGTTTAATAGTAAATGCAATTAGGAAATATGATTTAACATTTTGGTTTTATTTCCATTGAAATATTTTTTGGTTTTGTCTGGTTGATTTTTCTATTTGCTCTTTATTTTCCAAAAGTAGCTAAGGTAAAAAAATATCATAAATTAATTAAGTATAACACATATTGGAACATAACTGTTGCATAAATGGGACATCAAGTATTTTTGTTGTTCTAAGAAAGTAAAGATTTTTAAGTTCCTTTGATTGTTTCAGAATTTTAGTTGCATCTCCATTGGAACACACTATGCTTCTCGTGGAAGCAAAAGTGCAATTCTGAAGCAACAATGACCCTTAGTTGATTGAAGTCCCTTTTACATCGTGTATGGAAGGGGTATGCATTTTCACCAGTAATATGACAATAGTGTTATATTTTGGGATATATTAGTGATGAGCACTAATCAGTTAGTCTAGTTGGATTTTAGTGTCTAAAATTAGTTATCGAAAACAACTGACCTGACTGTTTATATCATTTAACGATATAAAAATATATTAACTAAAAGAGTTAGGATCCAGTTACTCGATGTAAAACTTTTTTTAGTTTTATACTGATTTAGGACCATTGGATAAGTAAAAATAGACCACTGAGATTAACTCTTTTTTTCCATTGAATATCTTCTTATTTCTTAATGTTAATCTCAGCCGTATATTCTCACTCACTCACCCATGACTCAACGGTATAAAATCTATGTAAAATTAAAAAGTTTTACAATGTATAATTGGATCCTATCCCTAACTAAAATCATTTATTTAGTTGTCCCAAAATTACAGTACCCAATAAAGCCCCATAATTGTTTTCATTACTCTCTTCTCTCAGACTCTGGCTCTTTTGTTCCCCTCGCTTTCCTTCAAACCAGAGTACCTGCCTCCTTCACAGACACTACCTCTTGCCAGTCACTCCACTCTCCTTTGATCCTGTTCCCAACTTCCCATTGCCTTCCTCTTCAAGATATGTTTTATTTCCTTTTCTGGTTATATTTTACTAGACAAAACCTTGTTTCACTGTGAATTGGAAAGAAATGTCAGTACTTCTCTTTTTTGGTAGATTTATGTTTTTCTCTTCTTTTTTTGGGTTTTCTATTGATTTTTGAATGGGATGAAAATTTCTATTTGGTGCTGGAATTTTGGTGGTATGGGAAAGCAGGCTCAATAGTTTTTGAAATGATTTTTGGCAGTTATTTGTAACCGATGGTTTCCAATATTGGTAGTTGAGTGCTTAGGTATTACCGACTTTGAGGATTTGTCTATTGGTAATGGCATGGTTTTGGAAGACCCAGGGAGTAGTGGTGCTTTGGAAATAACTGAACCTGCCATAGTTAAGTCAGTTCAGTTATTTTTGGTTGCCTATACTGGAGTTGGCCCTTTGGTCATCCGTAAGTTATTCTGTTATTTAAAAAAAAATTAAATTTAAAGGAATAAGCAAAGCCAAAGTTACCAAATGAATGCTATCGGCATTTCCTGGTCTCCTTTATTCAGTTTAGGTATTGAAAGTGAATTGAGTAGCATTAAACAATTAGTTTCTTTCAGTTTCTAATGCTCTTGTTTTATACAGTGAAGATAATGGCAGTGAGGATGAAGATGAAAATATGGATGCTGAAGCTGAGAAGCAAACCGGGGATGTAGCTCAAGCACTTGCTGTGGCGGATGCTTTAGGAAAAACTTCCAAGAACAAATCAGGGTCACAATTGGAAGATCTTACAGATGGGTTGAAGGAACTTGACATGGATAATTATGATGACGAGGATGATGGTATCTTTTCTTGGATGATCTACTGGTTTTATTTGCTTCTTCCATTTATTTTGTTGTTTTTGAAATGGATTACTTGAAGTTTATCATGAAACATTTCCAAATTGTTGAGTGTGACATCAATTATGACCGGCTATGCCTTGCTATGTTTGGGGTTTGTTATGTAGCTAATAAAGCATCTAACGATTCTTGCTTGTCAGGTATCGAGTTATTTAGCAAGGGGCTTGGTGACCTTTACTACCCAGGCAATGAAATGGATCCATATTTAAAGGATGAGGATGTAAGAATGATAACTTCCATATTGTATGGCAGGCTTTTATGAATTCAGCTTCTGATTCTAGGAAAATTTTTAGGATGATGATTCAGAAGAGATTGAGGATATGACCATTAGACCCATGGATTCTGTTATAGTTTGTGCTCGCACTGAAGATGATGTTAGCCATCTTGAGGTATGTTGGGATTCAATTTCGAAAAAAAACTTAGACTCAAAACATGCTAGGCATTCATTGTGCTCTACGTCTATACAGGTTTGGATTTACGAGGATTCAGATGAAGGTGATTCAAACATGTATGTTCACCATGATGTCATCATTTCGGCATTTCCCCTTTGCACTGCATGGCTTGACTGCCCACTTAGAGGGGGAGAAAAAGGTTGACATTTGTATTTTTGCCTTTATAGTTTTCAGGTTGTTGTGTGTTTAGACATGCACTTCCAAGTACTTAATTTTATGCTTGTTTTGGTGGGTATATACATCCTAATATCCTAGTCCTTTTGCTATATTGACAAGACTTGGTTGCATATTGGTATATGCATATCTTTTGAAATGTTACAAATGGGGATACTTCACCCATCACCCATATATTGTCATGTTTAATAGTTGCTAATTTACATGCTTCCTTGTTCCTTTTTCATTGCAGGGAATTTTTTGGCTGTTGGTTCAATGGAGCCATCAATAGAAATATGGGACCTGGACATTGTATGTTATTGCAAATTTATTCTTATTTAGCTCATAGGTACGTGTTACTAAATGATGAATTTATTCAAAATTCCTTATCATATTTTACTTCTCTCAGATCGATGAAGTACAACCATGTTTGGTATTAGGTGGCACAGTGGTGAAGAAGACGAAGAAAGGAAAGAAGGTTTGCTACTGAAATACTTCCTGATTTGTTGCATTGACTGAATTTCTTCTTATTCTTTTTTCCCATAAATTTTACCTTTTGCTTCTGGAGTTCTAAATGAATTTCATCATGTATAGAGTAGAGAGTTGTCTAGAGGAGTCGGTTCTTTGTTGGAGTATCATCAATTTTTTTACTCCAAGTTATCTTTCAAATAAATCTTCTTGTACGAACCCTATGGACTTGTCGAGGGTAGTACACTTTTGTTTTCTTTTACTGGAAAGTAAAAGTTAGGAGGTAGTGGTGCTTGTAAAATAATGTTTTTAGATAGAGCATGGTTAAAACTTTCAATGCCTGTACAAGGAAGGATATGGGACCTACAATCATGATCTACATGCCCTTTTTCTAATATGATCTCCAATGTTCTATCCTAGGCTCAGATGTTTGACATCGTATTATATATCCTGAACTTAGTTATGAGGAAGTCCTAAACAAAATTAGATCAGTGTCGAGATGGTGGTACAGTTTAAGACCTTACTTTTTCATAGAACTTGTTGTAGGTCCTTTGGTTCTTCAATTGCTGCTTAGGTATTTTTTGCGTGTCTGTTTAGTTTTGATTGTTAATAAGTTTGACTTGACCTAAACTGGTATTTATACAATCAATATAAATTGTTTTTTATGTGTTAGAAAATTAAGTGAGTCTCCTTTCCAAGCAGAATTCTGTTAAAGATACACATTCTAGTTAACTAATGTTTAGAATTGACAAAAACAACTTATTTTTTATTTCACTTGCCTTGTTTTGCATTAGAAATCTAAATACAAGGATGGCAGTCATACTGGTGCGGTTCTTGGTCTAGCTTGGAACAAGGAATACAGGTAATTTTGATCTTCCATGATTTGCCTGTTCTTGTTTTAATGATAATTTATAATATAACTACTTTTTTACACTTCACGTTTTTCCTTTTTGTTTAAGAAATATCCTTGCTAGTGCAAGTGCTGACAAACAAGTTAAGATTTGGGATGTTGCTGCTGGAAAATGCAACATAACAATGGAACATCATGTCGGCAAGGTAAGAACTGGGCTTTGCTAAAACCATAGAAATTGTCTTCCAAATATATTCTGGTTATGCATAGAAAGAATGCATATATGCCACACATTGTTTCAATCTTGGTTTCATCTCCACAGCTCATTTTAGTGGCATGTTGCATAGATACTCTGTATGCCAACTGTTAGATGAAAATTTTAGGATATGAAATAATTGAATGAATATCTTCAAACATGGTTGGGTCAAGTTAATTCTGGGTTCCATTTAATCTATCGTCGTCCGTCTTTCCATAACACCAACTTCTCTTTTGTTGGAGAAACGCTGATATGAATCAATTTTCATATCTGGCACTTGCTGATTTCATCTTCATTCTAAAGCATTAATAGAGATATTAAAACAGAATATTCTTGGAACTGGAGAAGTAGATGGTTGTGATGTTTGCTTATTTCTCTGTTTGTTTGTGCATTATTGGTTCTTTGTAGTTAGATTGTTACATTAGATGACAAATATATATTCAAAAAACTACTGTAATTTTGACTTCTTTAGCAATCTCAGTTGTAACTTTCAATTAAATATTCTCATTTGTGTACCGTGTAGGTTCAAGCTGTTGCTTGGAATCATCATGTGCCACAAGTTCTTCTTAGTGGATCATTTGATCGTTCAGTTGTCATGGTAATTAAACTGCTGCCTAAGATTTGTCCATATTTTCAGCTTCTATTTCTGGTGTTCTGTCTGAATCAATTTGTATTTGATTTGTCTCCTTTAATTGCTTAAACTTTGAAGGTATTCAGACTTACACTGTTACCATGGTTATACATTGCAGAAGGATGGAAGAGTACCAACTCATTCTGGCTTTAAATGGTCCGTCTCTGCTGAGGTTGAATGTTTGGCATGGGATCCCCACACTGAGTACTCATTTGTGGTTTGCGTTCAGCCTTTACTTGTGGCTAATTTCTTAGTGATGCTGCATTTATTTATTTGTTCTATTTAGAAATAAAGAAGGCATTGTTTGTTAATCGGAAGCATATTAAAATATTTAAGATTTGATCAGGTGAGTCTTGAAGATGGTACAATCAGAGGTTATGACATTCGAGCAGCCAAGCCTGATCAATCTTCCGAGTCCAAACCAAGTTTTACTCTCCATGCTCATGACAAAGCTGCTTGCACCATTTCATATAATCCTGCAGCACCAAATGTACAAACCTATGTTTCTCTTAATTCCATTGTCAGGTTATATTTTTACAGTGCATGACATTTTTATGTTTCTAACAGCTGCTTGCGACTGGGTCCATGGATAAGACGGTAATGAAGGTTTTCTTAGTGGTTTCACATACTATTATGAATATAGTTTCAGTGGTTTCATCAGTTGATCTTCCTTTGCACAGGTAAAACTTTGGGATTTGTCAAACAATCAACCTTCGTGCATTGCGTCCAAGAATCCTAAAGCAGTAAGTGTGATTTATGAGAAGCATTTAAGAATCTACGTGTGTTTTAACTGCAATATGTACTCATTGTCAAAGTTTGTGGTGAATGTTACTAGGGAGCCATCTTCTCCATTTCCTTCTCACAAGATAATCCATTTTTGCTGGCTATTGGAGGCTCAAAGGGAAAATTAGGAGTGAGTGGAGAATAGTACAATATCATGCTTTTACTATTACTGAAATTTGTTAATCATTAAATGGAGGGGTGATGAATATTACAATACTATCATGCAGGTTTGGGATACATTATCCGAGACCGCCATATCAGGAAAATTTGGGAACATCGCCAACAGCTGAACAAAACGAAAACATAGCTGGTCAGTTGAAATTTTTATTGTTTCGGAGAGTTGGTATGTATAACGAGGATGAGTATGGATGCAGGTGAAGCTTTTCATAGTTTTGGGATACAATATCATGCTTTTATTTTAGGGTATATAGCAAGTTTTTCCAGGTTGCTATTAATTTTTATGCAGTTGTGAAATTGTTAGAAAATATGAGGAACTGAAGGTGTTGCTTTGAAGCTGGAAGGATCACTCTTTAAAGAGGAAATGAATGTGTTATTTTGAAGCTGAAAGGATCTGTTTTGTTCTTTTAATTTTAATCAGTTCCTCGTATGATATTTTGATGTGTTTTAATTGGGATCTTGTTCTGCTTTTGTTCCCTATTCCAACAATTTTCCAAGATCAACATTTATTTTATTATCTTTCTTTACATTTAAATTGCGGCTTCATAAAAATAATAAATTTAAATATACGGTTATCGTCTCTTTAATGTTTTTTGACAATTAATCAAATACACATGAAAAATCGATCACTAGGATTACATATTCAGATTTTTTGTTGTATTACTAGTATTTATATGATTTTGCAAGTAAATAAATGCTTAGAAAGGACTCTTTGTGTTCTTTATTATTTGTTTAAAAATGTTGTCTGAATCTGGGTCATCAAAAATCACTTTATTATTGTGATTGCTTCTTATATTTAACATTTTATCACTGGTTTTCCGTTGAATTTCGTATTGAATAAAAAAATGCATCAACAATTATAACAGAAATGACGTAGGATAATGATGATTTTAAATTCTCATTGATTGGTTAGGATGTTATTTGATATTTTTATATATATAAACATACATCATAACATTTAATGTAGAATTTTTATTTTACAATTAACGTATTAAATAATTATTTTCTATAATTTACATTTTTTAATTATGTAGGTTGTAAAAAATATTTTGGTATTAATTTTGTGTAAATATATTATTATGATGATGATGATGTTAGATCATGATTGATTGTAACTGAAAATGTAAATTAAAAATAAAATAAAAGGATGATGTATGGAAAGTGATGTCATACTGATAATCATGTATATCATGTTTGTGTGGGTGCAAATAATTAGGCCCACAAAAAGTAAACACTTTATAGAAGGCAACTTAACAAGATAAAGATGATATGACGGTACAGCTCCTTTGCCCTATCTATTGTTTAACAAAGGTATTTCCACCACAAGTTTATAATGAGGGTTTAATCTAGGATAATATATACAAATCGAATCACTTTATCAGGTAAGTTGATTATTAAAAGCAATAAAATGATATTTATATTATAAAATATTATTTTGTTGAATTCATCAATTATTAAAAGTTAGATTCATTATGTTCTAAATTTATCTTTTTCCATTAAAAGATTGACGATATTCTTAGCCAAACGTTAGCATGTTGACTGTGTCACGTTAACTTTCAGCTTAGACAATCGTTAATTTTTTAATGAAAAAGGAAGAGCTTGGAATATAATGAATATTCGGGTGACCTTTTTGTAACTTTTAATAGTCGAGAGAGTCAACAAAGCAAGACTATATAGTCAAAGGATCATTTTGCAACTTTTAATAGTTAAGGAACTTGATGAAGTAGTATCCTATAGTTTGAGGATCATTTGTGTACTTTACCCTTTAAATGTAATCTAATTTATTTATGGTAAGTAAATGTAGGGAAAATCCCCATACATACCTATGCTATCCAATTAACTTTTTATATTAAACATTAATGATAATTGATTTTTTAAATCAAATCAATATAATATAAAATATGTCATATACACATATAATATTTTGAATTAAATCAGATAATAATATGGAAAACATGATATAAAATAATATTTCAACAATTTATAAAGGGTTAATACATTATATGGTACCTAAGATTGGTCCTATCAAATAATGCCTTTCTTTTTCTTGAAATTTTTCACGGGAGTCTCATGAGAAATTAATTGACAAAAAAATGTCACATTTAGAATAGACAACATCAAAGTCTTTAAATCTTATAATGCTTCCAAATAATGTTTTTTTAGCTGTGAGATCAACAATATCATCACCGTTGTGTGTATGCTTCTAATTTTAATTGTTTAATAATAATTTAAATCTTTATATGTTAAAGACTAAATAAATTAAATCTTATTTTTTATTTGAAGGGTATATATTTTACAAGACTTCTTAGATGACACCATATTTCTACAATCCTTGACCCGATAGACCAATTTTGCTGTACTTAGAATATTTATCATTAAATTTTTTAGCAATGCTTTTTCCCTCCACAACAAGCTTTTTCTTTTGATTCTTGTCATTTTTAGCCACGCATTTGTTATCTATTGATTAAAACGTAGAATGGGAGAATGAGAAAGAATCAAAACATTGTTTGAAAAAAAGTAAGGAAAGTGAAATTTTATGCTTATAAAAGGAGGAAAATTCTACGTACCACTAAGGATGGGTACCATTGATTTAATTTATAAAAAATTTAACTTTAATTATAATTTAGTTAAAAATTTAAAGGTAAATTATTTAAAATAACAGCTAACCAGTGACCACCTAACTATTGTAACTTTTCATTTTGACCATCATTTTTGAAATTTTATCAATCAGGTCATTCAACTATTAAATGCATTCAATTAAGCCACTTATAGTTACTATTTAATGGAGAAGTTAATGTGGTAGTTAAAATATTTGGTATAATTACACATTTAATCACTATTACTTATATATTCTATCAATTTAATCCTAATTTTAATAAATTAAAGGGTAGAGTATATAAATAGTCTCTAAATTTTTAGGATGCTTACATATTTATCACTTAACTTTTAAAACTTGTAATTTAGTTCATTTTTATTTTTGTCTCTGTCATTTTCTCTAATTAGTTTTTGCTGATGTGACTTAACTATGTTAACCCACCCCCATCTTCTTCTTCAGGTGATTTTTTCTTCTTTTTCTCCAGGTTATTTCTAACCTTCTTCTCTAGGTTTCTTCTTCTTCTTCTTCAAACGGGCAGAAAGATAAAAGAAGGGGAGTTTCTTGTGAAAGAGGGGATATGATGTTTCCTTTTCGCGTGGAATTTTCTTTCTAATACCAACCATTTTGTTTTTCTAAAGAAAATTGTGAAAAAGAAAAGAAAACTCCAAGGATAGATAAAAGATCACATTATCACTCAAAACTGCTAGTTTCTCTATCTATGGTTTATTATTTTTGTCTGTAAAAAGCTTGCTAGTTTCTTTTGGCGATTCGTTTCACCCTTTCCATATCTACAATATTTTCTTTCTTTCTTTTAGATAATAGAAAATTTAAAACAAATGGGGAATATATATATACCCAAAAAGGAGGAAAAAAGAAGAAAAATGAATAAATAAGAGTTGGATTAAGCACGATCCAATAAACCCTCACGCCAGAGGCGGCCAGCATGTTGAACCATTCGGTAGTCGAAGCAAGCCATCGAAATCACGGCCAAACAACGCCTCTCTATGTGGCGGCGACGCTCCTTGCGTCTCCCTCCAGATTCCTATACTAAGCGTGTAGAAGATTGAGAGTAAGGAAATGGATGGGGTCTCCGACATTACAACAAGGGGTATCCGGGAAGCAAAGAAATGAAACGTGTAATTGATATTATGTCGACGAGTAAGAAGGTGAACCCGGTCCTGGTCAGTGATTTGGAACGAGAAGCGTTTGTTAAGGAGATTTTGAGGAAGACTGAATTCACGTTTGATTCGTTGGAAGGTTTATGAGAGAATTAAATATGTGAAGGAATTGAAATCTGTCAGAAATTAAATATGAATCTGAAACATGTTTAGTTGGCAGGAAATTGAATTGAAATTTAATCCCATATTCTGTTTGTTTCGCAGATATGTCAGATGAATTTGATTTCAATAATGTAAAATGACAGAATTATTCTTCTTATTTTTGTGCTTAATTTTAGTTTGTATTATAACTTACAAGTAACAATATATTATAAAATTTTTAAAAATATTAAATTTTCATTTTATTGATTGATTATTCATTTTAATAAATTATAAAAATCATGCTAATAAACATCATACGTTAAAATCATCACAATCAAAATATGTTAATAAGTTACCAAAAGATAGAGCAATATTTTGATACATCACAATCGAAGTATGTCAATTAGTTACCAAATAATATACAAAAAACTTAAAAGTCAATAAAGGATTAGCACCCTTAAACTGTCCTTTCGGTACTACGTAATTTCCAAGTGTCTTTAATTAAGAAGATTGTAACTTTAAATTAAAAGGTAAAAATAACGATCTCAATCACTTATCCCTGATTGATTCGGAAATGTACCCTTAAAAGAGTTGAGAAACATGTTAGAAAAAAAGACAATGAAGATAAATAAACTAAAGAAACATAAAATAAAGAAAATAAAAAAAAATGAAAAAAAAAAAAAAAAAGACATAAAAATAAAATAAAGGTAAAAAACTAAATAAAATAAAGAACATAAAAAACAAAAAAAATAAAAAAAAAAAATAAAATAAAATAATCAAAATAAAGATAACGAGCAAAATAAAATAATACTAATAATTGTATATACATAATAAATAAATAAATAACAAGAGGAAAATAAAAATGAAAATAAATATATAAATAAAACTAATATAAAAATAAAATAAGAAAAGAATAAAAAGAAAAGAAAAAACAAATAAAATAAAAAAATAAAAAATAAATATATGGAAAATAATGATGAGGGCAGTATGGTCAAATTTAACATTCCCTTCTCAAAAAGATTTTAATTCTCATTTTATGGATGTAATTTACTTTCACTCACTTGATGGAAAGTTGAAGTTATTTACGATTCTAATTCTTTTTGAAAATTTAAACAAAAAATGGAAAGTGATAAAATTGGATTCCAATTCTCTCTAATTTTAAGGGATTTCTACGAACCAAACGTCAGCTGAGAGTGAGGAAATGGATGGGGTCTAGAGAAACGTTGAGGTGGTTCATGTGGAGAAAGATTTCGCAGATAAAACCCAAATGATTGCAAAAGTCAAGGAGTTGGCACTAAAGTTGGAGCAATGATGGGGAACTTGGATTGTGGAGGGGTGATTCTTTATTTGGGTTACTTGAAGTGGTTAGTGGAGAATAATCAGGAAGTGGGTCTTGCTAACGAAGTTCAACAGGCTGTATTGAAAGTAGGACGCGCCACAGTGGTTAAGATGGGGAAGCTGTTGGGGAGATTTGGAGAAGGCAGTGCCAGAGTCAGTGTCATCTGAACCGTCTACTTCATTTAATATATATTTCTAGCCA